CTACACGGCTCTTCTTCTCACATCTGACCGTCAAGGCTCTCAGAGGCAGGCTCGCACCCATCTAACCCCATTTTTCTATGAAAAGAAGTTCAAGGTGTTCAGAAGTGGTTCATTTTCTGACTTCTGCTTTTCTGTAAAAGCAGGTCCATGCATCATGTGTGTGGTGGCCATTCAATTTCTTCCCACTTTCCCTAAAAGAAAGCAGGATTCAATCCCACAGCAACAAAGGCCTTGGAATAGGAGGTGAAAGATAAAGTCCAGGTGTAGCTCTGAGAACAAGACAGGGAAAACTTTTTACAATACTTCCTTTGAAATGGTTAATTACACAAAGTGCTAACCTCCATAGAGTGGAAAGAGAACTGTTCACATCGTTGAGAAAAGGAGACAGAAACCTGGATCTAAGCAGAAGATGGCAACTCCCTGATACGATGAGTCTCAGGAAGAATGTTGGCTGAAAATCTTGCAGTCGTACAAGGGAAGAGCGGGCAGATCTTCTCTGCTGCTCCATTGGCAGGAAGTATTGTCACTCACTGGCACCAGGGAGGGGAGCGGACATGCTCTTTGGGCCACAGAAGAGGTCTTTCAAAGAGGCACACAACTCACAGAACCACACTGGGTACTCTGTTGCTGTTTGTGCTTAACAAATGTGTTTTCAGGGACAGCCTAAATGGCAGAGTGGTGCAGCCAACGTCAGGTAGCCAGTTTAGGATTCTCAGTAAAAGGAAGTACATTCTTCTGCTTCTTTCTTTTCCTCAAATTTGAGAAGAATCCTTTTTGCATTTTCTGCCTGGGGCATGCCAGGTTATTCTGGTGAAATTTTGGGAGGGATCAATCAAACAAAACAACTAAAGAAATGTTGGTATAAATGTCGTCTTAGGAAATTTCCTGCACAAAGAGTGGTGCCTGACAGAGAAACCAAGTTATAGCCCCAGTGCTCTGGAAAGCTGGAGGATTGTATGAGCAAGAGAAGCTTCAGAGAAGATACAAGAAATGTTCCAGTGGTCTTATTTTCTGGAGAAGGATTTCAAAGTTTATAGTGCCTCCAAAAAGATGAGGAGCTTTTCAATAAAGCGGTCCATACCAGATAATTTAGTGATCCGGATATTTTAGGGATTAGGGAGAAAAGAGAGATTTAGGCATGGTGTGCCTGAGGCTGACTAAGGAGTTTGAATGCATTAAGCAGGTAAATTGTCAAAGATCGAAAACTGAAGGTATGAAGGAGCAAGGAAACCATGCTGGTTTTGTGAAATTCACTGCCTTTCCCAACTTGATATCTACTATGTATATTAAATGTGCAACTCCCAGAACTGCCAGCCAGTCCAAGCCTTCACTCTCTGCTATTTTGAAATAATTCTCGTTTTTCAGAAATGCCCTCCAATCCACAGTGTTGAGCACCAAAAAATCATATGCTGACCTAGCATCTTGACCTATACCCACGTATTTGGAACCAATTCCTGCTGGATTCAATATGGGGCTTAGGTTAAGAAAGTGTGTAACACTGTAAACTAAGCCCTTACATGGGCCCTATCCTTCCTTTAACAAAAGTCACAGCTCCTTGGAGTCCTGCAATATCAGTAGGGAAGTCAACAAAACTGGCATTAATGTTAGCAACAAAAATAAACATGCAAATCCCAATTTTATTGCACAATTAATCTCCCCACCTTTTAATGGCTCCAACTTTAGTGCACCATTAAGTAAGTGATGTAAAAGAAGGAAGATAAAAGTGTACCAAACACGAACAAATGAAAACAACCCAGGGACTTGTTTAGATATCTGGATACATTATAGCCTTCCCCAAAAAGCAGACTACTCTG